TAAGAGGCAGAAAGGCTGTTTTGAAAGAGATGAAATTCTAAACTTCCCTTTAATATGAACTTGCCTGGTACATTTCTAAAGCCTGACTGATTTTAGTCACAAAATATATTACGTTGGTTTTTTTTTTCCCCCAAGTGCTTAAAATTGAGTCAGTCTGGATGGTGTTGAAAACGGTTCGGTTTTAGCTTGCATCACCCAAAGAAGTACCTAGATGGAAAGTTTTACTGTAGGACTAGAAGAGCTGCTTTCAGAGAATTCAGACTCCTGTTGGTTTTGTTTGCTTTTCAGGCTCAGCAGACCTGGGAGTGTGTCTCCATAAATCATCGAGCGGTTTGGATTTGCCCATGAAGGTGGTAGATATGTTTGGCTGTTGTTTGCCTGTGTGTGCAATATATTTTGAATGGTAAGAGCTTGCTTATTCTGAGAACAGTTTAAGTGGATCATATAAAACAGTATTATTACAAAGCAAGAGTTTAACAGCTTCTGCATGTATCAAATGGGAGTCCAGTATTATGCCATAAAAACTTTTTTTATTATTATTATTCAATAAGATGAGTTAGAAATTGAGGTTGTTTTATTTAAGGTCAGTTAGTAGACACTAACTAGTGTCTACAGTTAAGAGCATTCAATGCAACCAGTTGCCTTAACAACCTGCCCTGTAATCCTTTGTTTCCATATACTTAATGAGAAAAAAGCTTCCTTCTGCACAGACATGTCTGTGCTGTGTGAAGGGGTGAGTGTGTGCATAGTCAGCCTCACAATGCACCGTCCTTTGGGGAAACTGGCTTTTATTTATAAAGATATGTCCTTTGTGAAGATCTCATAAACTGAATTGTGGGCAGATTTTTCCTCGTAAGCTAATTTTGAAGTAGGTTATTGCCCTGATTTTGAATGTATGTCCAGATGAGTGGCATAAAGACAAGGTGAGGGCCCTTCAGTACTCTAATGGTAGAGTTAGATAGTCTGACATAGAAGGGAGAAGCAATCTTTAAATTTAAACTGTTTGAAACTGCCTTCCTCATTCCGTTTTGTCTGGTATGAAGCTCATATCTAGACATCCAGGATCATAACACTGCAGGTGTTCTAGCACATTCTCTTCAGATGTCACTGTGCAACTTTTAAAATGTATATGTCCCACTTGCTGCTTTTTCTCTCACATTTTCTTCCGTAACGTTTGTTCACAGTTTACACGAACTTGTAAAACACAATGAAAATGGTCTGATATTCAGAGACTCCAGTGAACTTGCAGAACAACTGAAGGTAAAGGCTTGTCTGATTTTTCTTTCCCAGTAGCCATAGCCACAAAGGTCCTACCATATGAGCCACCTTTTCATACCTGACTATTGTCTGTGTGTTTTCCATTCTCAGAAAATAATGCTTTGCCTGGTGAATGTTACTGCCCTCGCTTCTATTTGAATGTGAATTCGAAGCTGGCAAGAACATTTAAAATATTGTCATCGTTCACTGTTTATAGGGCCAGACCTAAGAGCGCTCTCTTCCTGCAGCATTGTAGTTGAGGAGGGAGCCTAGAATGAGCCTAAAATGTAACATGACAGTATTTTTCTGTGGTTCTCCTTTTTTAACTTCCAGATGCTTTTCTTGGAGTTTCCTACACTGGAAGGCAAACTTCACAACTTCAGACAAAACCTCCGTGCGTCCAAGCAGCTGCGCTGGGATGAGAGTTGGGACCAGACTGTTCTTCCTTTGCTTGGGCAGAATGAATGATGTTTTGTGGGGGAGAAAGGGCTCAAAAAAGCTAATACATTCCTGGAGCTGCATAAATCTGATAAACAGTGAATAAACACTTTGCATTGTTTATAGTTGCAGTTATTAACTACTTCATCTTGGGACAGTTATTTGGACACACCTTTTCCTTTACAATTTGAGCTTCTCTTGTGAGTACGAATAGTCCTGAAGGTGCAGGTTGTTGTGTGCCAGTGGTGTAAGCCTTGAGGGAGGACGGGGTTCCTGCGCTGAAGAGCTTGAGCCTTGCCATCTGCGCTGCCTTTCCTTCCTCATCCCTTGGGATGAACCTTCAGAAGGGGGAGGGAGGTTCAGTCACTTTAGGAACTCATATGTACAAAAACTGTTACCTGTGCTGCTTAAAGGTCATTTTTGGGTGAAGATAACTGAATATATGCATAAACTATTAGCAGTTATACCTATTGTACAGTAAGCACTTCAGCAGGTGATTTGGGTATTTTTTTCTTGCAATTGGGAGATGCTTTTTATTTGTTTTATATGCGTCCAGTTCTGGAGTCCCCAACATAAGAAGGACATGGACCAGTTGGAGAGGGTCCAGAGGAGGGCCACGAAGATGATAAGAGGGCTGGAGCACCTTTCCTATGAGGACAGGCTGAAGGAGTTGGGGCTGTTCAGCCTGGAGAAGAGGAGGCTCCGGGGTGACCTTATAGCGGTCTTCCAGTACCTCAAGGGGGCCTACAAGAAAGATGGGGAGAGGCTGTTCAGGAGGGCCAGTTGTGATAGGACAAGGGGTAATGGTTTTAAAATAGAGGGAGGTAGATTCAGGTTGGATATTAGGAAAAAATTTTTTACCATGAGAGTTGTAGAACACTGGCACAGGTTGCCCAGAGAGGTGGTGGATGCTCCATCCCTGGAGACGTTCAAGGCCAGGTTGGATGAGGCCCTGAGCAACCTGATCTAGTTGGAGATATCCCTGTTCCTTGCAGGGGGGTTGGACTAGATGACCTTTGAAGGTCCCTTCCAGCCCTAACCATTCTATGATTCTATGATTCTATCTGAATATTTTTTTATCTGAATTTGTTTTATCCTCACTGAGGACACAGTGAGGTTTTATTTGTTTCAACCAGTTAATATTCTTGGCTAGTCTTCTCTAGACCAGCACTGAATATCCTCTTGTATGATTTTATTGAGACAGAACCATTTAGTTTTAAAGCTGTTTTCCTTTTTACAGTGTGTGCAAGAATAAGGAAACACAGCCACTGGTATGTGACAGCTTTATTGAACACTAGGAGGAAAATAGACTTTTCAGTGAGTGTTGTCCTTGTACACTGACGTGCATGTGCCCATTTACCTTGAGAAAGAACATAAAATGTATCCCTTTTTGAACAGATGACTAGAAAAGGAAAAAATAAAACAGGTTGTTGAAGTATGGATAACTTACTAAAAGGGCACTTCATTTTTGAGTGCTCACTCAGGTACACCCGTGACCTTTTTATTGTCATTACCAGTATTCGTGTGCAGACCTGATGTTTACAGGGTGCTTTTTTCATCACCTTTCTGATCATAAAACAGATGTCAGTCATTGAAGGAATAAACGTGCTTGCTTTTACCATGTTGCTGCTCACATTGACTCTCTTCAGAGTTCCGTGTTCAGTGGTCATGGAGGATTACAGTGGGTTCTGCAGCAAAATTTTTAAACCTGCTTACTGAGAAATCATGTAATTCTTGCTTTTGTCAACCAGGATGGCCGTTTGGTAACCTGGCCTTTCTCCTGCTGCACCGTGGTGACAGTAGACGCTCCCTCTTACGAAAAAAGATGGTTGATGGGGATTTGGTTCCACTGGTGGGATGGTGAAAACAAGAGTCCGAGTTCCTTACTGCAGGAGTTCGGTAATTTCACTAGTTTATTGACCAAAGAACAATCCATAAAGATTTATTTGCAGATTTTTATTTTTTTTTCTGCTGTTTTCAAGCAAAATCCTGTCCGGTGGCATGGCCATTCCCCTTCAGCCCCTGCTGTGCACATGGGGGTAAATAGGCACTTCCCTAATTATTAAACAGTAATGCTGGCAGCTTGATAGCACTTTCAGCTCCCTGTAACAAAATCTTTTAGATCCAAAACGAGCCAACTGTACAGAACTTTTGAGTGACCAATTTGGTGTAAGGGGAGGTGAAGGAGCTCCTGTATGGGCTGCTGGCATCTATTCACTCTATAAATAGCACCTTTGAATTCTTCCCTCTCGGGGAGAGGTAGCTAAAACAAAAAAGCATAGTGGGGTTACTTCTGTTCATCCAACATAATGCTAGCAGTCATGCCCGTCTTCAGCTGGAAAAATCAGATGATTCTGCAAGTTACCCATCATCTATTGCTACAGAAGGAGGTGGCTGAAGTGTTTGTTCATTTTCTTTTCAGTAGCTTTTACAACAAGGTACAGAAAATGACGTTTAAAAGAGGAGAAAAAGTAACACACTTGACTTTCTGCTTCAGGACCAATACTGTCCAACAGGAAAATGATTATCAGATTATGGAAAGTTTCAAAGAAGGTGAGCTAAATTCTTCCTCCTTGCAGCGTGTGGAGAGCGTTGCTACAGAAAATGATTCTTTCTGTATTTTCTAGCCCGTCTGGAGACGATGGCTTCCTGATAGCTCGTGGTGAAAGTGGCAGTCCTTATGTGAGAGAAATGCAAATTCAGCTCTGATTTTTGTCATCACTGCAGAACAAAGATGCACCTGATTTACAGCAGAGTGTAATTACCTCCTCTTAGAGCGTCATGTGAGCTTGTGACACTATCTGCTGCATTCACTGTAGGTATTACTCATTTCTAAGATGACCCGTGCTTCAAGTATATGCAGACAAGGATAAAAAATCAGTAGAAGACAGCTACAGCTGGTTTTCATATTAAAAAAGTATTTATTACTATGAAACATTCTTTTGCTCCCTTGTCAGTGTGAGATACTCATCCTGCAGATGTTCCTCCATCATTTACAAATCCAAACACAGTTGAAAAAAAATCAAATAGTTAATTCCACTGTCTTCCACGGACTCAAAGGGCAGTACAATTAGGGCTTTTTTGCTGCTGCTTGAGGTTCTCAGATACTTTCCAGGGGCAGCAGCTTGTTTCATACATGCTGACAATTACAGGAAGGAATGTAACTCACTTTGACAACAGTCTGTGCCTGTAGTTGTATCCTCAGTGCCTCTCATGTACATTTCTAGAATTCCAGATAGTCTTGTCGCAAGGACGAGACCGCTCCTGTTGGTCTGAAAATTGTAATTATGTCCTATTTGCCAAGTCTATATAAATAGCTGTAGAAGAGTTACGTTTGGCTGCGTGTCACAGAGAAAAATACTGTTGCTGTGGGCCGGAGTGATCTGCCATCTGATCCCAACTTTATCTGCAAAGAGAAACACTGGGAATCATCATTCTGCTTAACAAAGTGAAGAGCAAAAGTTGCTTGCCAAGTTCTGCACGAAGAGGTCTTGAGCGTGTTGTTAAAGCAAGCTGCAGGCAAATGCTTGTGAGTATGTATTTTTAAAAACTAACAGGTTTGCTTGTGCTGTGCACTCAGCATAATTTTGTCAATTCACTAATGGCTGTAGACTGCAAAAGACAGGCTTTTGAAGAGTATATGAAGAAAAATCCAAAATCTCTCCCTATTTTATTTAATCTCTAGTTGTTGGGTGGCTTTTTTAACCCTCAAAGAACAGTTAAGACAAAGGTTTTAGGCTGCACCTAAATGTTACCACTGTGACAGTGCAGCACAGGTGGTTTTCCTGCTTGAAGCTTAACCTTTTTCAGTTTCCTGTTGCCACCACACTTGCAATTCACCTCCAGCTGGCATTCTTAAAAGTGAGTTGTGATAGAGGGAGCAAAAAGCAAAGTTCCAATCTCCTTCTCCATGGGGAAAAGCTACTGCCCTTCGGCAGACCCCTCTTAAATCCAGTGCAAGGACAAGAATCTCACTACTGGACAATACCTGTCACCCAACAATGCTCCTGCTCATCCCTACTACAGATTAAATAATGGGGAAAGGGGCCAAAACTATTGATACGCTTGATGAAAAAGGCACCTACCAAGTTCAGCCTGGAACAGGCGATACGTGTCCGGATTACGGATGGTGAAAGCAATGTAGACCTCAGGAGGTTTTCTGTCTGCTCTGAAAGTGGAGAGTTTTTGTAGCATCCCAGTAAGGGCTGGAATTATCTCTGGATCATATACCACGTCTGCACAAAAAGGAAAACGTTGGATATTTATTGAGAATTGAGCAAAAAGCAGAATGAAAACTACAAAACGAAAATAGAAAATACTCACCTTGCAGGAGAGTATGATTTTTGTATTCAGGGGTTAAAAATTCCCAAGCAGACATTTTAGAAAATGTCCCTATTTTATGTGCTATGTCACGTTGCCCTCATCTCTAGTATCAGTCCAAAATCCCTAAAAATCAGTGCTCCTTTTTGTAAATGGATTGTCAGATACAGCGTTCAAGCCCGTCTCAAGGGAGACAGCAAAAACCTCGAGCGCTGGTACTCTCTGTTTCGACTGTCCTTAGCAGAACAATACCACATTGTTAAAAATCTGTGTTTTGGAGGCTGGCTGCAAGGGACTTGAGCTGAACTGCAGCAGTTTGCATCTTGAATGACCTCCTTGAGAGCAGAAACGGCGACGAAAGGTGAGATTGATCACTAAGGGGTACGAGATGTCAGCCTTGCTAATTAGGGCTGTGATGCCGAAACGCGTCAGTCGTGCTCGGGACTGACACTCGAGGTGGGTGTTTACTGCACAGAGAGGCCCAGGCGCACACCAGCGACGGGCACACCAGTTACTCCCAGTGCAACATACTAAGGGAACGCCCTGCAGTAACCAGTAACAGCAAATAGCAGGTGTACTATTAATTAGTAGATGTACATATAAATCACCTTCAGTTTTGAGCTGCCTTTCCTTCGGGAGCCCAGCTTGGGCTGCTCTGTGCCCTCCCTGAACAGCACAGCGGGCATTAGGTGACGTGCAGTGACGTCATTTGACAGAATTCACACTCTTGATGCACCACATGATGGCTTTGATGACAAAGAATATTTTGTCATTTTTTTTCCCCTGAATTCTAAGGTAATTATTGCTTTGCAAAGCCCCAAATCATGGAGTAAAATCCTGTAGCTACAGCTAAGAAATTTTACTGTTGCTAGATTTTCCATTATTAGATTTTTTTTATAAACTCCCTGGAGATTTATACATAGGCAAGTTCCAGAAAAGGTTTGTGGTGACTGTTTTAGTTTTTTGTTTTGTTTTTTTTTTAATATGTTATCCCTCAAGGAATGCCAAGGTTGGCCATTATTATTGATGAGGCTCTGAAGAGTGACAGATTTATCATCTTCTGTTTCTGGATTTTTTAAAAAAAAAATGCAGAAGGGAAAAATAATTTGCTTTTTGACATTATGTGTACACAGCTGCTGAATATCTGAAAAAGACAAGACGGTGAAATGCACTGGGAGAAGATCTGTCACACACTTCCAGATTTGGTATCTGAAGTAGGGTTGAGTTGAGTCCAGCCACAAATTTTTTACCTTTTTTTACCTCACAAATTTTTTTTCACCTTTGCGTTTCTAACCTGCTTACTCCTGCAGGACAGCACGCAGTGCGGTGTAATCAGAAGTGTAAGGTACCTGCTGCGATGACGACGTCGGGTTGAAGGTCCAACAGTTGTTGTTCCGTAACCGAGCCCCAGTCAAGCTCTGCAACAATCAGTTTTGGATTTTGGGAGTTGGTTGTTTCTGCCTCCTGGCCTGGTGACGCCGCTTGGATACGCGGGGAAGTTCCAGGCTCCAAGACGAAGCCGTTCAGACGGATGTTTTCTGTCAGCTGTTTGAGAACACAGTGGTGGTAGTCACTGAATATGTATGCCTTGGGATTGCAGGTTTTACAGATGGCGATTCCAGTGAAGCCGATCCCACTTCCTAATTCCAAGACTGTCCTGAAGGGTAACGGAGTAAAAGAAGGGACTTATTAAGACTCAAAATTGAGTTAGGAAATCAAAACGTTCTCAGTGTATCTAAAGGTAAAATCAGTTACAGATTATTTCAGTCATTTTTGAGTAAACCATCTATAATCTAATCTTTGTCTCAAATCACAGAATCATGGAATGGTTTGGGTTGGAAGGGACCTCAAAGATCATCCAGTTCCAAGCCCCCTGCCATGGGCAGGGACACCCTCCACTACACCAGGTTAATAACTGGGAGAGTTGGTGACTGCTGAAAATGCAATAAAAATTAATTACTTGAAATAACGCTTTTGCATATGGTACAAAGGGTCTGCACCGCGGGATGAGAGACATTCCTGCCTGGTTTTAGACTTTGCAGCACGGCTGCCTCCACCCAAACAGCTTGTCCAGTTCTTTGCGTCGTCAGTGGAGAGAAACAGGAGCACAGCTTTCCTTCTGAGGTCGAGACTTTAAATTGAATCTTTCCTCAAAAGTGCTCGTTCCTCTCGACTGCTCATAAACAAAGTGAAGATGATGCCACCAGATGTGCCCACCGGCACATCAAGCATCTGAAGCGAGGTGAGAGGAACGCCGGCGCGGAGCCACGCACACCAGTTACAGTCACTGGCCACACAGTGCAGTAGCTGGAACTTAACAGCTCGCTTTACAGAGCAGGTCAGGCTGCATGGTGCAATGGTTTTGAACCTATTGATGAGGCTCTTAAGAGTGACAGATTTATCATCTTCTGTTTCTGGATTTTTTTAAAAAATGCAGAAGGGAAAAATAATTTGCTTTTTGACATAATGTACACAGCTGCTGAATATCTGAAAAAGACAAGATGGTGAAATGCACTGGGAGAAGATCTGTCACACTTCCAGATACGGTACCTGAAGTAGGGTTGAGTGAGTCCAGCCACAGATTTTTTACCTTTTTAACCTTTATTTACCTCACAAATTTTTTTTTACCTTTGCGTTTTTCTCTCTCTAACCTGCTTACTCCTGCACGACAGCACACAGTGAGGTGTAATCAGAAGTAATCAGAACCAGTGTATCAGAAGTAATCAGAATCAGTGTATCAGAAGTAATCAGAAGAAACCTGTCTTAAAAGAACGACAAGGTCCTCTCCTCGATTAAACCTGCACTACTGCAGAACTCTGCAGCAGTTACCCAGAACTGAAAGCAGCAGTTACCCAGTAGCAAAAGAGTGCAGTCATTTCAGTCATTTTGGGGTAAATTCTGCATATTATTAAATGACAGTTGTGTAGCTCACTGACAATAGCAATGAAAATACTTTTCCCCCTTTTTCTGTCTGTGCCCTGTCGTTACCTGTTACTGAAAACCGCCGAGTTCTCCATGGCCCATTCGGCGAGGTGGAGCGCGGCGTCCCACGTGACGAGCCCTGTGGTTCCCCCAGAGACAATCGCCACGCTCTCGGAAAGGGTAACGGCTTCTCCCGTGGGCTGAAGGACACACGCAAGAAAAGAAAGATGGATCAGCACAGACAACGGATTTTATAGTTTACAATCAATATTAGCACCTGGAAAAAGGTAGGAAGCACTCTGGGATTCTGAGGGGTTACTTTTAAAGCCAACCCTTGCTCAGTTGAGATCATAGAATGTAGAATGGTTTGGGTTGGAAGGGACCTCAAAGATCATCCAGTTCCAACCCCCCTGCCATGGGCAGGGGCACCCTCCACTACACCAGGTTGCTCAAAGCCCCATCCAACCTGGCCTTGAACACTGCCAGGGATGGGGCAGCCACAGCTTCTCTGGGCAACTTGGTCCAGTGCCTCACCACCCTCAGAGGGAAGAATTTCTTCCTTAGATCTAATCTAAATCTCCCCTCTTTCAGTTTAAATCCACTGCCCCTTGTCCTGTCACTACACACCCTTGTCCAAAGCTGCTCTCCAGCTTTCCTGTAGCCCCTTTAGGTACTGGGAGGTGCTGGAAGGTCTCCCCGGAGCCTTCTCTTCTCCAGGCTGAACAGCCCCAACTCTCTCAGCCTGTCTTCATAGCAGAAGTGCTCCAGCCCTTGGATCATCTCCGTGGCCTCTTCTGGACCTGCTCCAGCAGCTCCATGTCCTTCTTGTGTTGGGGACCCCAGAGCTGAACGCAGTATTCCAGGTGGGGTCTCCTGAGAGCAGAGCAGAGGGGCAGAATCCCCTCCCTCGACCTGCTGCCCACACTGCTCTGGGTGCAGCCCAGGACACGGTTGGCTTTCTGGGCTGTCAGCACACATTGCCAGCTCATGTTGAGCTTCTCATCAACCAGCACTCCCAAGTCCTTCTCCTCAGGGCTGCTCTCAATCCATTCTCTGCCCAGCCTGGACTTGTGCTTGGGATTGCCCCGACCCACGTGCAGGACCTTGCACTTGGCCTTGTTGAATCATGAGGTTCCTACAGGCCCACCTCTCCAGCCTGTCCAGGTCCCTCTGGATGGCATCCCTTCCCTCCAGCGTGTCCACCCCACCACACAGTTGGTGTCATCGGCAAACGTGCTGAGGGTGCCCTCGATCCCACTCTCCATGTCACTCACAAAAACGTGACACGGATGATTAAAAGTGATTTATAACAGCGCAGCATTAGTTCTTACCAGTAAGTAGTTTTTGTAACAGTGAGTAGATTCTTCTTCATTTAAAATATCTGCCAGCGTATCGTACAGCTCATCCAGGGGCTCGGCTGCTGTGGATTCATGCTGCGTGAAAGAGAACAGGGAAGCTCTGGGTATCGAATCGGCACGAAGCAGAAAACATACGTGTGTTAAGTACAATTTCAATACATCCTTCCCATAATATTCTACCCTGAACGCAATTTTTAGAAATTCAGGTTGGCCCATGATGTAAAACTGGCATATTTCAAAGGAAAAAAAAAAAAAGTTGCAAAAAGATGAAAAGTAAGCATGAGTTACCTTTTTGATGAGTTCAGTGAGAAAGCGCCTTCGGTACTTGGCGGAAGGGGGATACTTCACACACAGAGGGTGGAGCACGGTCTGGAAGAAGGGAACGACACCGGCACTGAGAGCCGCTGCCAGGCGGGGGGTTGAGAGGCCACAAAGGGCCAGAGAACGACGGGGGAGCGGCGACTCGGCTCTTGGCGCCGGGAAACGCGCCGGGCTTCCGCCTGTAGCTGCAAGAAGCGATGGCGAGCCGGAAAACGACATCCGATCATTTCCCACCCGTCGGGTCACGGATCTGGGGCGGCGAAGGCGTTTTTCGCTTTATCAAAAAGTAAACAGCAAAACCGAGTGGAAAAAGAGTCCGACGAGCTCTCCTTTTGTCTTCTCTCCTTCTTGACTTCCTGTCCGCGCGCGAAGCGCCAGCACGGGAAGGGTTTCTGCCTTCCCACGGGGACCGGAATCACCTTCTTGACCATCGGAGCACCGAGACCAGCGTGGCTGAGCTGCTTCTGCTCAGGCACGAGGGTCTTTAACTTTGATGCGAATAAAGGACTCGGCTAAATAAGAGGACAAGAAGGAAATGTGCTGTTCTGTGGGGCCCCGTGAAAAGCCGGGACACTTCTCCGGGTAACTGTGGGCAAAACCCGGCGCGGGTCAGCGATCGCGTCGGTCACACTACGCACCGCCTCACCTTGTGC